GTTAATTATTTTATAATTAAATAATTAAGAGTGATAAGGGGTAAAATTGATATAAAAGCAATTAATACCTTATTGGAACTCTAAAATAACAAACAATTTGGAAAAAAAAACCCAAAGAGACATATAATAAGGGACAAATGGAGTAATATATTATGTATTTGTTGTTTATTTGAATTCTTAAAATAAAAATCACAATTCATTAATTAGTGTGTCATGCATGGTAATTTCCATTCTAATTTGGTAGGAAAAAAGTGATTATACTAATTAATTTGATTGATAATTTAAATCACATAAATAAAGGAAGAATGATTTTTATTTTTTTGATGAGAAGGAAGACTGATTTTTGAATGATCAAAGTGTATTTAAAGTTGAGATTCCAAATAGTTAGAAGTTAGAACTATATTATTTGAATAGTAAATAGGGGTTTTTATGCATAAGTCCTGACCATTCATATTTATTATCCTATGTTCAGGGGTTATATATCTTTTGTCAATAAGCTCTTTCCTTTAATATGTATTATAAATAAAGGAAATGTATATGACAAAATTACTCTCAACCCTTTAAACTCAATTCTTAATTGTAACCCCAGTTTAACTTTAATTTAATCAATTTTGACCACAAAAAAAAAAAAAAATCCAATTTTAACTTTTTTTTAAAAAAACTTTTTTTCTTTTATGAAATTCTTTTTTTGCCGCCGGTTTCTGGCGTTGACTTTTCCGATTTTTTTGGTCTGCCTTTTCCGCCGCCGGTTTCTGGAGTTGACTTTTTTCTTTCCTCTAAAATCTTTATCCGTTTTTTTACGTCCAACACTGAACGTTGACTTTAATTGTACTGTCATTAACAGTAATTATACTGTCGCTGACAGTAATTATATTGTCATTAATTGTACATTTACGTAATTGTATTGTCGTTGACAATACAATTACTGTGACGTAGAGAATAAATAGCTTCTTTAATGGCCATAATGTTTCCATGAGATAATGAAATATGTACGTTATAATAACCATCTATCAAAATTACATGTGCCTCATCTATTTGCCAAAGATGTCTTACTACTAGACATGAAATTTATAAAGTACGACTTATGTATAAGGATAATATGTGCAGTTGCACAATCTGCCAGACATTTATCTCCACATGTCATGTCTAGAGAGTTATATATTTTATTTACATATATTCAGTACTTCATGTACTAAATAATTGATTTAGAACATATAGTCACATAAATATGTGGTCCATAGCATAAATTAAACATAATCAACATACAAATATGGTTCATAACTTCAGCATATGAAATCCAATAAACTGATAAAATAGAGACATAAAATGAGCATAATGCATATTTCATGAAATCAATACTCTTATCATTAATTTGGTCAGATGTGCCCAAGTATGGGTGTTGAGGAAAAAGTTCCATATTGAGAACGTTGGCATCTACGAAGTTAGCCTTTGCTGGTGCATTATTATTTGCATCTCCATACATTATGTTCCTTGCACTACAGGTGATCGACAATGGCCATGTCCACCACATATATAACATGTCTCTATATTTTTATTCTGATTCCAAAAAATAAAAATTCAACTATTCGTTGCATCAGGTAAGATTATAGTCTTTTGGGGATCAAAGCGATTAGCGAGTATATCCCATAGTTTATGGGGATTCTTTATTGATGGACAATCCATACCGAATAATGTCATCTAAGCATCTTGCAGTCAGAATCATTACTTTAGTCTTCTAGACTTGCTTAGTAAATTGCGCTTGACAACGATTCTCGATTTTATATTAAGTAGGTGGATCTTAACATCCATTTTTCAACTAATATAATTTTCACCGGATACATTATAATTTTCTAATTCAGCCCGCAAAGATTGCAAACGAACCTTCTTTACTTCATTTTTCCCGACATAGGTTGTTTGTAGAAGTTCCCACGCCTCCATGGAACTAGTCGCCTTGGTTAGTCTTTCATAGACGGAAACTTTGATGGCTTGATATATTTGGAAAAGAGCTTTTCGATCTTTTTGTCTTTCGGTTCTCAAAGTTTCCCTTTGTGCATTCGTCAATTGATCCTCATTTTCGGGAGTCTGAACACCGTCGTCAACAACACTCCAAATGTCTTGAGATTCAAGACAAAACTTCATTAGATTACTTCAATAATCGATTTTTTCTGCATTGAAACGAGGTATAAGTGAAGCAAGGATGGTGGACATTTTTTTAAGATGGTTGTGATGCCAATTTGTAGGCACCAGGATGGGATAAAATGATTAATCCCATATTTTGAGTTTAATGATTTTGTGAAGATTTGAAAAAACAATATTCTGAGTAGAGAAAGTAATAAGACTAGTATTTTGTGGGTGGAAAAATTATTATTATTATTATTTTCTTGCTTACAATCATCTCTAGCACTCCATATTTATAGTGATGAGTACATTAATGTTCTAATAAATTACAAGATGATTCTTAGACTAACAACTCTTCTAATTCTAATTTAATACATAGGAAAATCAAAAGACAATTGTCTACATACATGGTGCTTCAAATTCACATTTATTCTAACATTCAATCTCCCACTTATTCCAACATGAATGCCCACTTCTTCCAATATTGAATTGCCACTAATTTCAATATTGAATTCACATTAAGTCCATTTATTCCAACAAAAGAGAGAGACACAAAAGAATAATAAGATTATGGTTGAAATGATATATTGAGAATTTAAATGTGTGAGGAATATTATACATGAGGCAAATGAGTTTTCTCTAATTATTTTTTGATGGGGAATTTTCTTTACATATATTTTTCAAATGGGGGGCCGTCTTGCTAATTTTCCGTAAAAATAAAAATACAAGAGTCGGCGACGTGCAAGCACCATCGCAAAAACAAGAAAGAGGGATAAAGTTAGGCAAAACCTTTCCAACAAAATTTAAATTAAAGGCCGAAGCACTCGAGCAGTTATGTTAGAGCAACTCCAACCCAAAAATATCAAAATGAGGTATTAAATATTTATTTGATATTTCTTATTTTAGTTTGATACCTAAATAAATTTATTTGCTCCAACCATGGATATTAAATAGTTGGTAATTAAAAATAAATAATATGATTATATATTTTAATTAACACATGTCATTTTCTAATTGGTTATTTAGGTTGTTAAGTTGTGTAACTTCCAATTGGTATTATTTCTCCCGGATGTATTTTTACCTCAAAAAAATAAAATATCAAAATAGAACCTCATTTGACAACTTCATTGGAGTGAAAAATTCATATTTTGAATTATCAAAATGGTAGTTACGGGTTTTGACACTCCATTGGAGTTGCTCTAATTGGATGTTTATGGGTGATTTTATTTGTAAATGTCATATGTCAACTTGTGATTGGATGTTTAGGTAGTTACATTTCGAGTAAGTATATTTATATCCCAAAAATAGAATTATATAATTTGATAATCCCATTGGAGTAGAAAATTTCAATTTTTTAGTGTGTAAATATTGGTTAAAGGTTTAAATGCTCTATTTGATGCCCCCATTGGAGTCGCTCTTATGCGCTGCAGATATGAACTTGGGATGAGCTTGAACTTTCATTTGGGCCATAGTGCCGTAGCCCCTATAAACCTATGAATCTCCGTGATAGGGAGATAAGTAGTTAATGAATTTGAATAATGCTTTGGACTATTTCAAAAATCAAAAGCAATTATTACAGTACAGAAGACCACACATCCGTTGGTTATTCATCAAAATACAAAAATGAAATAATTAATAAATAAATAAAGACCACACATTAGTATTAGTTGAGTTTTCCAAAAAGTTTTAAACGGTAATTACAAGTAAAATGTTTGTTATGGTTCTTGAGCTTCAATTTCTCGGCAGAACTAAATACCCAAAAACTGGAAACGAAAGAATCACTCACTCCTCCTCCTAGTTATGCTTTGGTTAATAATTTACTACATCTTACTGATTGTGCCTTTGTATTGGTTTGTGAGAGAGGAAGAGAGAGAGCGAGAGATGTCGGAAATTTTGCACGCCGCCGATGTATCTCTTAAGCGTACACTACAGCTCCATCTGACTAGTTCCGACGACACCTCCCTCGAAATCCTCGAATTTAAGTCCCTTCAATTGTTTCTGGGAAACAGCAGCCGCCTTTGTAGAATCACGGAGGCGGTAAATGGACTCCAAGATATGCTCGAGTCCCATTGGAGGACCCTCCATCGTCGGCGTCGGCGCGTGGATTTCACGGCCTTGGACGATGTAAGGCGGCGAGAGATCAATTCCTTCACGAAAAGGGTGAAGGAGTACATTAAAGAATTCGAACACGTTGACTGTGTTCCGTCAGCAACTCATTTGATTGGAACCAACTCCAAGTCAAAGGTTGTCGGATTATCTGATCAAGTTAGAAAAATCGTAGCGATGCTTACTGATCCCAAGTCCTCTGAGCTCCTTTTCGTCTCGCTCCTGGGTATGGTTGGCATAGGTAAGACCACTCTCGCTACAGAGATTTTCGAACATCCATCAATTTCTAGGCATTTTACTCGTCGTGTGTGGCTCACGTTAGGCCCCGATTGGGAGATTCTAAATCGATTAGATCTCTCCAATAATCGTTCCGTCTTTATAGATAGATGTCTGGTTGTGTTGGATGGTGTCTGGAACAAAGAGGTTTTGGAACATTTGGAGAGGTTATCTCCAGACATAATGAGTGAGAGTAGAGTCTTGTTGACAACTACTCTCAAGGAAGTAGCTTTATTTCCTAAAACTCATCAAATTTATGACATGCGTTTCCTCGATAATCAACAGAGTTGGTGTCTTCTTCGAGACAAGGTGTTTGATGAAATGCCTTGCCCTCCCGAACTGGAGAAGCCTGGAAAGAAAAGATTGCTGAGAATTGTGAAGGTCTTCCTCTTACAATAGTCACCGTTGCGCGCCTCTTGTCCAAGGCAGAGAAGAGCCTAGATTACTGGAACAAGGTAGCGGAGAAGCAAAATTCTTTGTTCTTGGATGCATATGATAAAATGTCGGAGCTACTATTTCCAAGTTATAACTATTTACCTCACCATCTAAAAACACTCTTTCTCTATATGGGAGTCTTCCCTGAAAAACACCAAATTCCCTACTCCAAGATCATTCGTTTGTGGATTGTTGAGGGTTTTCTTGAACGAAATCTGTCCAAAACATGGGAAGATGTTGCTGACCAATGTCTGAAGGACCTTATTTCAAGAAGTGTTGTTATTGTCCACCAGCATAGCACAGGTAACGGGATTAAAACTTGTCGACTCCATTCTGTATTTTGGCCCCTCTGCATCAGAGAAGCTAGAAAGAACAAGTTTTTCCATGTCATAAAATGTTATGCTGATATAGTAGCAGAAGATGTGAAAATCCAGCCTCGATTTTGCATCCACAATAACATTTTGTTTGGCATCAAATATTTGAATAACTTAATGTCATCCGCATCAAACGTGTCTTCTCTACTATGTACCGGCCCTTATCATCAATATCCAGTACCGATATATTTGGATGATTCAAGGTTGTTGAGGATACTTGACGCTCTTACAGTCCGTTTCTACTTATTTCCAATCCAAGTACTGAAACTAGTTGAGCTAAGGTACCTTGCCCTAACTTATAATGGGAAGCTCCCTTCTTCCATATCCAAACTTCCGAACCTTGAGTGCTTGATTGTTGACCGACATATGGCGATCAGGTCTGCCGGAAAACCACAGTGGCTGCCCGTGGAGATATGGGATATGAAGAAACTGAAGCATCTTCAAATCATGGGAAACGAGGTGCCCGATCCTTGTGAAGGATCTGTCTTACCAAAACTCTCAACACTTTCAGACATAAGCTCCCACAGTTGTACTAGGAGTGTTCTTGAAAGCATCCCTAACCTAAAGAAATTAGGAATTCGAATTGAAATATCGTCTGATGCAGCCTCTGATTGCGAACCATCGAGCTGCTTCGATCATATTTCACTTCTCAATAAACTAGAATCACTTAAATGTGTTATTGTGAATCCTACATTGAAGAACCCTCCCCTTCTTTCAGTTTTCCCATTAGGTCTTAAGAAATTGTGCCTGAGTGGGTTAGGATATCCTTGGGAAGAAATGAGCAAGATCGCTTCATTGCCTAATCTTGAAGTGCTCAAATTGCGATGCTATGCTTTTCGAGGCCCAAAGTGGGAAATCGAAGATAATAGATTCATGCGACTCGAGTTTCTTCTGATTGAAGATAGTGACTTGATGCACTGGACCGCAGGAAAGGAAAGCTTCCGATTTCTTGATTGCCTAAGCATTAAACACTGCTACAGATTAAAACAGGTGCCACGGAAATTTTCTTCCGATCTTAGAGAAATTCAAGTAAGAGACTGCAGTCCGTTTATTTCAAATTGGGCGAAGTTTGTGTCCCTCAAAATTGATGTCCATGTCCATGCTTCGTGGGATGAATGATCCGGGCCTTCTACATATGATTCAGTTTTATCTATATTTATTTCATGGTGAATTTGCAATGTATATATATATATATATATATATATATATATATATATATATATATATATATATATATATATATATATATATATATTAAAGAAACAAATGAAAAGAAAAAAAAAAGAGTAGATGAATAAAGGTGATTGAGCTTGGTTTACTGTGTAGTCATGTATGTATTTGTCAACTTAGAGGTTGGAGGTGAATAATATTGAAGTTGTTCCATATGAACAGGGAGCTTTGAAGAAAAATGGAATTTTGCAGCTATGAAAGTGATTGAATTTTTGTTACATTTGTATTTTATGGTTCTGAGTAAAAACATGTAATAGAATAAATACTTCCTTTTGTGTTTCAACCTTGAAATTGACTGTTAAAAATAGGGGTGGTTTTGGTAGGGTTGCCGAATATTTTGATCAATACCATGTACCTACCGAATTATATGGCATTGAGAAATTCGATACCGTTGCCGTACCAACAAGTGCGGTATACCGTTACTTTCGGTACGGTATATCGGATACATGGTAACTCTACCGTTAATTTTAATTTGTTATACTTTGAAGACGATCTTTATAAAAATACAACACTTTAAACAAGAAAATTGGCTATTTATATGATCATATTCAATTTTTTAAAGCTCATTGAATATGTGTCAAACTTCAACTTTATTGATTTAGCCGCACCTTACAAAATAAGATTACTAGAGTCATGATTTTTTTTCAATCTCAATTTGCAATTGTACTATTTCAGTGAAAGCCAAATGGGATGTGCGCTTTTTAGTTGCACTAAGCTTCAATGTTGTCTCATAAATTTTTAAGCTCTGTAATTCAACTTTTTTAAGTTTTGACGGGATAATTACAGTTTTGGTCCCCCAATTTTGGACGTTTTTCATTTTTGGTTCTCCATTTACCACCGTCAACAAAATACACATTAATGTTGTCACATTTTAACACATTTAGTCCCTCCGTCTGTTTGACCGTTAAGTAGTAACGGTCAATGGCTGAATTTGGGGTTTTTCTTTGAGAAAATTGCAATAAGACCCCTGTATTCTTTAAAAATATTCTAAAAACCTCTAAAATTTTATCCAACCATAATTTAACCCCAATTTCATCAATTAACCAATTTTAACCAATGACCCCGATTTTTAAAAATTGGGTAATCCGACCTTGACTTTCTTTTTAACTCGGTTGACTCTTTTTTCGATTGATCTTCTTTTGCCGTTGTTGAGCTATGTTGAATGTCGGGTTAACATCGTTGACATTTTTCTCTTGATTTTTATTTTATTTTTATTTAAATTGTTGAGTAATGGAAAAATATAATTTTAAAAAAATTCAAAGCTGATAATCGGCAAGAAAAAAAATATCATAAGAAAAGGAAAAATTCAACGCATCTCAATAACGGAAAAATTTTAAGACAAAAAAAAAAGATAAAAATTAACGGCCGGTGTTAGTCCCAAAAACCGTTTACTAGAGTGGTTATCTCATTCCAAATTACTCCTCACATGCCTAATTCATCTTCTTTATATTTTTTGGGAAGAAATTTGGGATGCACTGGCGGATCCACGAAGAATAAATTGAGGGGAACAAATTATGGATTTTAGAATTATTTTTCGGTATTGTTTGGTAGGTATACCGTAGTATTCGGTAGGCAGTAATTATTTTCCAGTCATAGTTAAAAATACAAAATGGGTAAATTACCAAAACACCTCTGAAACTAAACCTTTTAAATATTCACAATTACCGAAAATCCCCTTGACTAATGGTTGATCAAATTTCTTAACAGAAAATTTTATAATTGCCAATAAGGCCCGTAAATTAATAAAATTATAAATTACAATAAACTCGCCGAAGTAAGGTTTAATTATGAAGACACCCCTCAACTATCCATAATTGCTAACCCTTCGAAACTCTTTGTTTTCTTTAAGGGGTCTGTTTCAATGGCCTCGAAGTCACCATAGTTCATGTGACTCCTTCTCAGTCTAGTGATGTGTCTACGCTAGAGGTATCTCGACCGACAAGCAATAATCCGTTGACATGCTTGGAAAAACCGAGGAATCCTAAATGGTGTCTTAATGAAGTCTTTAGCGCATACCGATTAGAAAAGGGGAGTTGCAACAACCTCTGCGGTAACACCATCCAATATAATGGGACAAACTGATCAGAAATGGTTTCGTGCATTTTGATTTTTTTCGCTATCTATATCACATGCTTTGAATTTTCTATTCATACAATACAATGTTGATAACTTTGTGGTGCATGGAATTAAGACGGTTCCAACATCTCTATGTTGAAACACTTACTGTCCTAACAGTGACATAAAAACATCATAACTCGGTATTTTCGTTGCCATTTGGGAGAAGGATTTCAATTCTTCCGTTAGTGAATCGGATGAATCCTCATTTTCAGAGGACGGAAAGAAATATTGATTGAGACATGGAATTCGAGTGCATCCTCTAATTGACATACTGCCTCTCTGATTTAATTTTTGCATCCAAAGCGTTCCATTTTTTTACGGATAATCCTCCTATCGTTGCTGATAGGACACAACTCATCGAGTAAATCTATTACGGAGACAACCTCGTTTTAGTGCAGATACTATGATGTTTTGGGGGATAGTATGAACGTGGCAACAACTTTCTAGGCGCTCTATTGTCAACCTAAGAGAGATTACAGCAGCGTGAGCAAATTCTCATCTCTCTTTTCCCCTCAACCGGAACAAATCTAACTATTTCTAGTACTTGCTTTTCATTTTAAACCAATGTCCCTTTTGAAGAATGTTGGGTCTGAGTTTTGGAGCTTCTCAGAGATGTATGAGTGATGAAGTACATCAAGAATTTTAATAAATAATTGATTTTCTTTTTAATGCAATGTTTTTGTAATACATCCTTCAATAATTTCAGGACAAAAACATCGTTTCAGAGCTTCCCCTTTGAAGGACACGCTTTTTTTCACGAACTTGCGTGCTGGCTAACTCATTTATCTCACCACTACTCGACCGAACATGGTCAATTTGAGTTCAAACCCTACGTGTTAATATACACGTTGCTCATCATAACTTGTGATATCTGAAAAAGCACCAAACAATATTTGGACTAGTGGCTCATGAATATTTTTTAACTTCCAATCATCGTTGGAAGGCAATTCTCTCATATTATACTACGTATTTTCAAATTAGTTTCTACTCATAACAAGAGCCAACAAATACCATAGTGTCATCGATCACATTCTCAAACATGCCCGGGAAATAAGTCGAATGATTAAATCTTATGTTTTATAATACATTATAATAGACTAAGCAAATCAGATTACAATACCAGGAGACAACAAAAGTAATCAAGCTGTTTTTTTTTTCGATAATCACCTACCAGACTGCTATACAACTCAGATACGGAAGGAACTGTCATGGAAGTAGGATATTTGCTGAGCCAACGTCAAAATTAGTGCACCGTTACGATTTCTTTTGCAAAAACCCCATTTTACATTGCACAAAAAAAAATATTAGATGTGACGATCATTTGTGAATAGGTGGACCGGTATATGTTCCTGAGCGCATGTAGAGGTCATCGGGTGTGTCAATCTCAGAAAGCCATGCATATTCCTCTTCTTTCTCTACATCACTCTTTTCGTCTTCTTTGGCTGCATATAAATTCCACAAACCCTGTCATTGCCTCGAACATAAACCCCAAACTTTAAGGATGATTATGTATCTTAGCAATCACATGAATATTCCCAAACGAGGCCTAAAGAGATGAGATAAAATAAGTATGGAAAGAAGAAGATACTTACAGAGGGTGGAACAAGGATAATCACGGTAGTAAGAACATCTCCTGCCGGCAAATTCATCGTAAGGAGGGGCAAGAATGTCCAAAACGGCACAAGGAGTGATTGCGGTAAAACTGTGAAGATTGCCTCCACTACTTGGATATAGAACAGACGTACTACACGGTGCTGTCAAAACTTTATCCACTGCCAATTTAGCCAGCCTCACTGACACAGAGACAGTCGGAGAGAGAGAATTGATCCCCAATTCATGTTAAAATCAATCAAAAATGAAATTCAAACAACAGTCAATGTGTTGAAAACATTAAACACTCGTAGACATCATTCTGTATAAAAATTACCTCATTATTTCAGAACAATCTCAAATACATACAGGTTCTTTACGAGCGTTCTCTCTCAATTGCTACCTCCTTATTTCATTATGCCCAAAACCTTTCAAATGTTCTTCTCTACAGTCTATTATTCAAGGCAATGCCTACATTTTACTCCTTTCTAGAAGCATCACATTTTTAAACTAAAAAGTTGTTCAATATCCATTCGAAAAACAATACGATAAATGTGAACTTACTCGAGGTCTAAATGTCCTCAAATTTTGGAAATCAAAACCGAATAATGAAGGACCTTAATGCTTGTCCGAAATTCTTAATTTACCTATAGCTAAGTTAAGGATCGAATGAAACACTAGTTTTTTTTGCTGATTAGGTGATATTCTGTTATGAGAACAAACTAATAGATCAAGAAATAGGAAAATGATACAAAATCGGACCTGAAGAGTTATCATTTCCCACAGGTTTTCGGATGCGAGGTGGGTCAACCCAATCGTAACCTTTGACATGTAATGAACCGTATAAGACTTTGCTCAAAACAGTCATGCCAGGATGGTCATGTAATGGAATCACAGACGAGGTAGGGAAGCAAAATATGCACATCTGCAATAAATCCATATAGTTTTTGTTCAAACATTCTGAAAATATGTTCATACTATCAAATAACATTACTGTCGATTCTTTGCCAGGGTTTCATATAAGACAAATTTTGCCAAAACATCAAGTACTTTGTGGATCATGCAAATGCATGTAGTTCGTTAAGTTTGAATTAGGCTTCAATAGCCTTCAATCATTAAATTGTATGATGATGATAATGATGACGACGTGGGCCATCATAAAAGAAAATAGACATGAAAAACTTTTGACAAGCCATCTGCAAGAAAGTTATAAGGCAAAAAAAAAAGGAAAGAGAGAGAGAAAATAGGAAAGGAAGCAAAATCATTTACCGTGAAATTTTCTCCTTCATGTACATCGACATAAGTTATTGGTTGAGCCCATCGATCAACTCTATTGAATGAAGAAAATCCAAAAGGACCATGACCCCTGTCGTCCTCTTTGCTAGGATCACTAAGACCAACATCCGCAGGACCAATTGAGTCTGCGAATAATTGAAGGATCTAATTTACCGGTGCTAGCGACGTCAAAACAAATTGAAGTAAACGAATTTGTAAGAATATGTCAAGTGGATTGTGGACATATTTACTACAATAACAGCAAACAAGGAGCATATGTATAACAGTTAAAACCACTAAACTAATTATAAGGTGTCAAATGAAGGAGGATGAATATGTTTTGTTCCACTAACTGCTAACAGAACAAAACAGCCCCAAATGGTGAGAATACGCCTAAAACAATCCATGTAGAAATTCAATTTAGTTCAGCAAGAACCCGTTTTTCGATAATTATCCAAATGATTAGCTCCGTTTATTTCCTTTAGGTGCAAAGATTGGAATTATGCAGAAAGATCACGTGTTTTCATTAAAATTTTTGTTGTATTCTGCAACTGCACCACATAAATTGTGAATATAAGAAGTGAAATTTATCCAAAAATCCAATTAAAGTTTCTAATAATGCTACTTCTTGGATAGAGAATAAATATATTCTTGAAAATCCAAATTTGAGCAACTTAATTCGACACCAGACAAAAAAACCCAAACCCATAATTCATGTCATTGCACCAGAAAAAACCCAGGTAAAGAATCGACCGGAAAACTCTAAAATAATCTTCAAAAAATGATCAATTTCGGAAGCTAAAAAAGAGAAGTACCCAACAAAGAGGAGAGCTTATGAATGGCGTTAGGAGAAGGTGGGGAAGCTGATGATTGGGTGAAAGTGTCAGCGCAGAGGTCGAAGAGAGCTTGAATAGTGGAGGAACTCTTCTTCTTCGTCATTGTGAACAGCCTTCGATGAACACACATTTCCTTTCCGATGAGAGAGAGAGACAATGAAAGATAATTAATTATAGGGCGAAGGGTGAATTCATTGCAGACGGGCTGCGCTGCTGGGAAAATTTATTTACTTATTATCTCCATCTGTACAAAACATCCACATCTTGTTTTAACTCGCAAAAGGTGTCAAAATTTAGGCCAAATCCCACTGTTAGTCCCTCATCTTTAAATTTCTTCCCACTATAGTCCCTCATCTCCTAAATGCACCATTATAGTCCATCATCTCTCAAATCCATCTCATTCTCATCCTTCCTTTCACGGGTCCGTCAAAATTGACCGCAAATCAATCAAAAAATTAAGACACATTCCACTACATAAGGGCAAAACTGGTAAAATACTTGTATAACCTATTACTCAGCTCATTTTCAGTCATTGAGAGGGAAGTAGAGAACGATTGAGAAATTGGGAGGGAAAGGGAGAATAATTAAGAAATTTTGAGGGAAAGAGAAAACAATTGAGAATTAAGAGGGAAAGAGAGAACGGCATATTTTCAGTAGAAGAGCGAGAATTGAGAGAGAATTGGGGTTTTTCAAAGATTTGAAGCAATTTGAATGCTTAATGTTGCTTCGTAAAAGAGGGGATTCTTCTTCACCTTGTTACACCAAGTTTTTCCTCAACTTTCTTGTTTGTTTTGATTTCTCAAGTGACTTTCTTTGGTAGAATTAATGTCTATTGAATATGCTATACGATAACGATGAATAGACAACTCAGTAAATTTTGTATCATATGCAAGGCCAGATAGTGTATATTTTACAATCAAAGTTTACCATGGTGGGGAATTTTTGGAGATTCCAAATAAAATTTATTTCGGAGAAGAAGTTGACTATATAGATTACATGGAATTTAGTAAAATGTCTCTGTCAACAATGGATGAAGTTGGAAAATTGTTAGGGTTTCAAAATCTTATAGGCTTCTATTACAGAATATCAGGCCACGAAGATGATAAAGAATTACTTTTTATGCTAACGGATGAGGATGCATTTCAATTGGCAGAGTATGGAAAATATTACATGGAAGTAGAAGTTTTTATATGCCAATCATACTCTAACCTTTTGCCAGAAGAATTTGCTGCCAAAAAGGATTTTGATAATATATTGAACGAGAAGGTTCATGGTGAAGATGAATCCGAGTCAAGTGATCAAGAAAGCTTGTGTGACAGTGACTATGAAATGAGTGGAGAAGATGACATGATCTATGTGAAAAACATAGACCATGAAGCTGAATGGGATACTTCGATGCCAGTAACAGAAAAAAATGAGAAAAATAATATAAGATTTGAATCATCATATGTTGACAAAGAACTTGAGGTTAATGACTCATCAGATGATTACTTGTCAGATGATTTGCATAGTTTATGCAATGATGATGATGAGAATCGGGTAAAGTTGCCTCAGTTTCCAAGATTCAATCGTGCAAAAGATATGGAAGATCCACAATTTAGGATTGAGATGGTGTTTATTGATGCAAATGAGTTCAAAGACGCAGTAAGATCGCATGCAATCAAATGGCAGAGAAATATAATTTTTTTGAAGAATGACAAAGTCAGGGTCAGAGCAAAATGTCAAGAGAAAAATTGTAATTGGGTTATTCTTGCTTCAAAGCAAAGAAAAGATACATATTTTCAGATTTGAACAATGGAAACAACTCATAAATGTGCAAGACTGTTGACGAGAAATAAATATATGACATCTAAAGTATTAAGTAATAAATACTTAGATGATTGGAGGATAAACACCGAGTGGAAGGTAGGAGATTTTGAGGAAAAAGTTCACAGGGATATGAATGTTGATATAAGCAGAAACCAATATTATAGGACCAAAGAAAGAGTTTGGAAGATGTTGTATGGTCAATACAAAGACCAATATACAAGATTATATGATTATTGTAAAGAGCTTAGATTGACAAATCCAGGCTCAACTATTGTCTTAAAGGCTGTGGAAAATAATGCAACAGGTGACGAAAACTTTCAGAGATTGTACATATGCTTCGAAGTATGTAAGAAGGGATTTAAACAGGGGTGCAGGCCAATTGTAGGAGTTGATGGCTGCCATTTGAGAGGGACACATAAAGGAGTTCTATTGACAGCTGTTGGTATGAATCCTAATAATTGTATATTTCCTATTTGCTATTGTGTGGCAGAGGGCGAACACAAAAGTTCATGGACTTGGTTTTTCGAATTATTGATAGAAGATCTAGCCATCTATGGTCAAGAAAAATGGACCATTATATCAGATAGACAAAACATTTTTTTTTTTTTGTCTGTTGTTAAATATCATTATTTGTTTATATCCTATTTTCTATAAATATATTTACTTAAATTAATTATTTGTTTATTATTTGTAGGGATTGTTACCTGCTATTTATGATTTCATGCCGCGAGTTGAGCATAGATATTGTGTTAAACACATGTATAATAATTTCAAGAAGGATCACAATGGTTTTGCACTCAAAGATAGGATGTGGAAAGCTGCACGGGCTACACATCCGAATCAATTCAAGGGTGAGATGGATTCATTGAAAGAATTTCACGAGTCTGCATATAAATGGCTAGCCGAAGTTAATCCAACACATTGGAGTAAATCACACTTTAGAACATCGGCTAAATGTGATATTCTTCTTAACATTATGTCCAAAACCTTCAATTCGGTTATACTGGATGCTAGGGCTAAGCCATTGCTTGGAATGGTGGAGACAATCAGAATATATTTGATGAAGAGATTGCAATCTAGGAAGGACTACATCACAAAGTATGCGGGCCTACTTTGTCCAAAAGTGCAGAAAAAGTTAGAACAAGTGAAGGATGAATTCAGAGTATCTATTGCTACGCATGCAGGGGATGGAAAATTTAAAGTGAGGGATATTTATGGTTCCAGATATGTTGTAGATATTGATAGTAAGACATGCTCTTGCAGAAAATGGGACTTAACAGGTATTCCTTGTACACATGGGGTATGTGCTATTGCATGGTCTGGGAGAATTCCAGAGGAATATTTTCATGAGTATTACTCGAAAGAAATGCATGTAAGAGCATATAAGCACATCATATATCCAGTCAAAGGTCCGCAATATTGGCCACAAACCGGGAAAGCAACTGTCAGTGCACCTGGAACAATTAGATTACCTGGTAGGCCTAAAAAGGCAAGAAAAAGATAAGCTGACGAACATGGTCATTCTACCAAAGGACCACAAAAGCTGAAAAAAAACGGGTCAAAAAACTCTATCTTGCAAGATATGTGGTAAAGATGGGCACAACACACTAACATGTTCTTCTAAAAAGAAGCAAAGAAGGAAAAATAAAAGTACTTCATCAACTACTCATGTGTCTGCAATAAATTGTACTAGTAATAGTATGGTTTCAATGAGGGATGCAATTCTTGGTCAAGCAAAAGAACCACATAAGAAGAGGAAGATCAAGTGCAGTGTATGTTTCAAAGAGGGCCATAGAAGAAATAAATGTGATGCTCCAGCAGCAAAACTTTGGAGAAATCTTGATTTGTATGCTCCTAACCACCAGTAGATGCCACAAGAAGAATCAGAGTTACATGTATTATTAGCACAAGAAAATGTGAGTCAATTATTTTTCTTTGTGTCAGTCAGTACATGTATTTAGTAATAGTTTACTTTTCTTTTAGTAGAGTAATAGTTTACTTTAAGTACTTATTCATTCATTTTTTATTGTTCTGGATATAGGTGGTTCAAAATGTATAAAGTACTATTACAGGGGCAAATTCAAGCCAAACTACTACCAATATTGGGGGAGTTTCAATCAAGACAGATTTTATTAAGCATGCACGTGTCACCTTAAAATCATTGCAGGGTATTGCGAAATCAGAGCTTGCGAAGAAGAAAGTGGAAAATCAGAAGCGAGGAGAATGAGTACACTCACGAAATAAGTTGTACTTTTAAAAAAAATTGTTTTGAGGATAAATATGGACTATGGAGTACTTTTGATTTCACTAGCTATGTTTTGATGCTGGAATTTTGTTTTTGAGATAGGATGTCTGATAGTCATGATTTCATTAGCATGGTTTGGAATTTTGTTTGTAAAGTAGGATGTCTGATGGTCATAATTTCATTAGCATAGTTTGTTATTAGGAATATATATTATAATATATTTTGGAAAAAAAAATCATTGTTTTATTTTTTTAATTCTGTATTGTATTTCTATGAATTGTTTACAATACAAACCTCATTTTCTTTTACTTTTAGAGTTGCAATAAAGTACGTTTTTTTTAAGAAATTAGAAAATTAAAATGTCCATAATATCCTTATTCTTAATTGATTCGGATGACTTTCTGTTAGTAGTTAACAGTAGTTAATAGGAATGTGAAAGTAAGGATCTGAATGAGATAGATTTGAGAGATGATGGACTATAATAGTGCATTTGAGAGATGAGGGATTATAGTGGGATGAAATCTAACGATGAGGGACTAACAATTGGATTTGGCACAAAATTTATTTTGGGATGGAATAACATAAATACCCTATATATATATATATATATATATATATATATATATATATATATATATATATATATATATATATATATATATATATATATATATATATATATATATATATATATATATATATATATATATATATATATATATATATTAGTTATTAATTAGGTATTATTAGTGAAAATCCCCTCATTTATATGGGTAAATGAGAATGGATCTCACCCCTTTTTCATTACTAGAAAGGTGAACGTGCGTTGCACGTCTTGTGTCAATTTAATTGGGTTTTGTTTGGTCATATTATTCGATCAAAATAATAATACAAATTAAAATATCGAGGTTATTTGGAGTATATTGATGTTATTCATTAGTCAAACTTTGTCTAATATTACAATATGTATAGATTCGTAATTTCTACTTATATTTGTGTTCAATATTCCATTTAATGTGTTTTTTTTTCTTTCATCTTGATTTTTTTTCACATCGATTATCATTGGAAAATGTTGTTTACCCATTTCTTCTAATATGTATTAGTTTTTTCTTGCAACTTCTTCTTGGAACATTATCATTTTTTTGGATAGATAGATTATTATTGTCATTATT